CCATCTTATTTTATTTATTTCTATAATTTTGTTTTTATTTTTTTTATACAATTTTTTTTAGGAGCCACGTTGTGGGGCTTTGGTGAGATATCGGGGTCTAAACAAACCCCTGACATCTCACCTTTGAGACAGAGAGAGGAGATTGAGGCCTCAATGAACAGTGCAGAATGAATGGACAGGAATAGCTCTGTACAGAGCTTTGCTTTAATTCATAAACTGAAGTATAGTAAACACAGTTTACAATGCCTCAGTTATGAATAGACAAAGCCAGTGATTGGTACCAATCACTGACTGTCCATTCAGACAAGGAAGAGGCCAGTAAATGACATATTTACTGGCCCCTTTCCCACTCTTCATCCTGACAGATCCCCTGCAGCAGTTGGCAGGAGAGGGGACGGGGGAACCCAGCAGTGCTGCAGGGGAAGATGGGGGGGCCCCAGGGGCCCAGAGAGAGCACAGGGGGACCAGGGAAAATGACAGGGGCCCCAAGAGCTGCAGAAAGAACATGGATAGAAGGGGCGGCAGGGCGGCATATAGAGGAACTGATTCGTCCATTTCTCTCCTGCATCCACTGAATGCCTGCAAGAGGGAGAGGAGGAGATGCGAGCATCCAGAAGTGGCAGGAGGGAAATGGTCGGATTGGTTCCACTATATGCCGCCCCACCACCCTTCCTATGGCCAGTCCAGGCCTGGTGAGGAATACACATGGAGACCAATGAATTCAGTAAAGTGCATTAACACGAACGTTCAGACAATGTGGTAACAGGATCTGTGTAACACGACTGAGCCCAGTACAGCAGCACTTTACAGAAGGTCTTATAAACACAGCCTCAGTATAACAGAGAACACTCTAAATGGCTTACGATGCCCAACAACATCTGATGAAGGAGGCTGCTGGAAGTTTCTCTGGCAACAAGGCACCTGAAGATGGGGGAGCTCCTACTGGAAACACAGGCATGCAATCCCTACTCTGTCCTTCCTCCAATGGAACCTTTCCCTACTCAAGACATGCTGTCCCTAACCAGCTGGTTCATGTCAATGACCTAGCAACTTCGCAAATGCGCACCAACTGCCACAGGAAAGTGCTATTTATTAGCACTGCCCACACAAGAGATCACAAGCATGATCACCAAGGGCGGCAGTGCCCAATCAGGAGGCTGCTCTCCTGATTACACCCATGGAGGCCTCAGAGGAACAAGACTTTCTCCTGTCCTTCACCCGTTCAGCATAGCAGTTGCCCTCAGAGGGCCACCTGTGCATAGAGGCCGTACTACACCTGCCTACATGCAGTTGCAGTGGAACTGATCAGGTATGACACCTGCCATTTGATGAATTGACATTTTGATTGAGAACACAAACAACTGTGCTAGTTATCATTCATGGAATGCCTTGAATGTAACTGTTCTGGGAAACAGTTAAAGTAACAATAATATCTTTGTTCTCCAAAATAATCCATACGCATCCACTACTTCGTGGCCCTGTAATCTTTGTTTCATTAAAAAGTTTCTTACTGTGTGTTTTTCTGTCTCCTTGTAATGTCCTACATGAGCTCCCAAACCTCTCATTTTTTCCTTCACTTCCATTTACTTGAAACGGGCAGTGCTCATTATTTAGGCACTTCTCTATGCAAACTACAAGTCCCATAATCCATAGTTCATCTCGGAAGTGAGCAAGAAAGGATGGCTATATTCCTACATACAGTGGGACCATAGAAAATAAATGTAGCCACCCTCCAACAGGAAATCAGATCACAACAGCAAAAAGAAAAAAAAAGGAAATGTGGAGATTGGGAAGAAGTGGAGAGCAATAGAAAGCACTTTGTGAGTTAAGAATACATAGTTGAATAGAATTTTTTTTAAACCAGAACGTAAAGTCAGTTTAATTCAATGGGTTTCGTTTCGCTTTAATGGCTAGGCTGTGACAACGTTCTCATTTTGTCACTTTCTCAAAAAAAAAAGGTGTTCATTCTGGGAATAAAAACCCTGAAGGAGGTCAGATGGTTATCATTGATCATTAGCGTATCTGCAAATACAAGCCGAGACCTTGCATTTCCTTTGTTTGGAAATCTTTAATTAAAAGTGTTAATCTGAATCTTCCACTTTCCTCTGCACGGCACAATCTATCCAATTTTACCTTTTTATTCATTGACTTTTTTTTTTTATTCTCAGTGCTGACAAACTAGAATGTATAAAGCAGAGCAAATAAAAAAGCAATGAATATATATTTTCCCACGAGCCCCATAACCATGGTAACCTCATGAACTTGTGTACAGTTGTATCGACATTTACAATACACACATGACACACATGTGGAGTATAGAAATGCGAGGGATGAGAATTGAAGCTTCTTGCCTTTCTTTAACCACATATCTGTATGGGGATGGGGGAGGGGGGGTGAGTTTATTTTCATATTTTCTATCGCTTACTTTTTCTGGTTGTCATAGGTGATCTATGAATATATGGAAACCCTGTGTGCCAAATATAATGGCCGCCGATCCATTCGTATCAATCTTTTTCCCTCAAAGAACCTGGCAATCTCTTGTCCCTACCACACACGAAGGACAGCCTGGGTGGAAGCCAATTCACTTTCTAACATGCATGTATATGGTATGGGGGAGGAAACTGGAGCAATGGGAAACAACATATCAAGTGCAGATGCTGCTGCAGATGGGCACAAACTGCCAAATCAAGTAAATATTTTTCAACTTCTGCAGCCAATCAAAAGCAATGAAACGAGTTGCCGTCTGTCAAATTCAAACACCCACCAAGTAAAAATGGTTGTAAATTCTTACATTTACCCAGTGAAGTGACTGACCTCAGGTGATACACAAAAAATTAAAAAAAATTCCTAAATATGTTGTGCCTGTTTATCTGCATCCATTGAAGAAAAGAAATACCGCTCAGGAAAAGCAATCAATATCAAACACAACACAGGAGCAGATCCTGGCTTGCCACCACATACACGTGGAAAGGAGAAGGATATGTTGAAAAAGTGAAGATTGTTTATTGATCCATAAAAAGACACAAATAGCACTAGGACAATGCTAGTTGTTAACGCGTTTCACACGGTCACATGCTTAGTCATAACTTTGACGAGTAAGCACTTGACCGTGTGAAACGCGTTAACAGCTAGCATTGTCCTAGTGCTATTTGTGTCCTTTTATGGATCAATAAACAATCTTCACTTTTTCATCATACCTCCGGTGTGCGGCCAAACCCTTCTCCTTTTCCCTGTTTATCTGCAGCCTTCTCTTCTCTTTATCCATTCAAAGCCCAGAATTTATATAATTGCAGAGCTCAGTGAGAAGATATCACGTAATTGGTCTTGAGGTTGAGATGATGAGAGGACTTTCATTGTAGCTGAGTGCACAACACCCCTGGAGATGGTGATAGGAGATGCTGAGCCCAAAGAAGCACAGGTTGCTAGCTTTATGGTAGTCAGATGGATCTGCATTGGTGATGCCTCTTCAGGTGGAAGCCGGGCGCTGGAAGTAGCTAATCCAGGAAAATGCACAGTTCACAGCAGGCAGAATGAGGCAGGAGATGTGGTCAGGAATAAAAGCCAAGGTCAGAGCACAGTGGTCAAGCAGAGAAGTAGACAGAAGCGTGCTGAGAGGCTGGCCAGAATCATACACAGGAGGTAATCAGGAATATGTGCATGGAACAAGCCAGGGTCAGAGCCAGGAGAGAAGCAAAAGGGAGTCTAGAAACAAGATGGGTTGGTAACAGGACATCGAGAAGTAACAAGCACACAGGAACATGAGTATCAGGGATCTGAAGACCAGTCAACAAAGTCTATGAGCATCTGTCCTCCTTATAAAGACCAGAGGGCGCCAACATCTATTGCTTGTGGTTTGCCTCAGTGACCACAGGTGTGCTCCGTGAATTAATGTTCGTGAATGGGCATGACAATGCTGGATATTGCTAAGTGTGCCAGGTCTCTGAGCCAATCTTCTCCAGCTTATCCTCTGACAGAAGAACTCTGAGAGCTGATTGTTGGGAAGGGACCAGAGGTGTAGCTAGGATATTTTGCGCCCAGGGACGAACTACAAAATGATGGGGCACTATTCCTCCCACTGACACCAATGACACTTACCTTGCTGACCCCTGCTCCAGCCTAGTGTCCTTCCCTCTCCCATCCACAGCCAGCATACCTGGTTGCAGCAGCACCATATGCACGGCACACTTACCAGTCAGCTGTCTTCTTCATTTGCTCCGGCCGCTCCTTCACTTGATCTTCGCGCTGCCACTCGGCTCCTCCTCTCCAAGCTCCGCCTCCTCGCAGGTGATTGACTGCCTGTGTGTCTTTCCTGAGCTACAGTTCTGATGCCCAATCACCGGTGAGGAGGCAGAGCTTGCAGAGGGAGGTACAAGCTGCCATAGGCCATCCAGTGATCCCGAGGGTGTTACCAGATGACAGGGTGGCATGTCATCCCGCCCACACATTGCGTCCAGGGAAAAGAAGACACCGGATCTGCGGACCTCTCTACCCCTCCTCCAGCAGCGCCTCCTGGACTGGATCGTCGTGGGACACGGAGCCAGGTAAGACACAGCATCCCGATGCCTGCCCCTGTACTAAGTGTCCCTTCCGTTGGAAGGGGGGGGGGTGGTGGCACCGTGCCTCTTCCCTACAAAGTGTTGCCCTAGGCAAATACCTTGTTTGCCTCCTGCCAAATATGCCCCTGGTTGTAAGCCTCATTTTGGCGCCCCTGTACCTTGGCGCCTGGGTGCATATGTACTCCCCTGCCCCCCCATAGTTACGCCTCTGGAAGGGACACACACCCCCTTCAAACAACACACAGGAACAGAGCTGAGGCTGCCAATCAGCTGGAGGTCCCTCCCCTGTCACCTTTTTCTCTTGGTGTCAGGATAACTTGTCAGAAGTGATTCATGTTGATAGCAGAGGAATGAAGCAGCAGACAGAAATGACAGAAAAATCAGTACAAGGGACTTGACTTACAGTCAATAAGAGGATCTCATAAAGAGACCCTGACTATGGCCGCCCTTTCCTCCCAGCTTTGTTTTTTTACAGAAACAGTTCTATAGCTTCTATGAATGGAACACGATCGAAGAATTGAGGTGGTGGAACCAGGGGCGGACTGACAAATCATGGGGCCCCCAGGCAATAGGGGATCATGGGGCCCCTGTGCCCTTGCCCACACTCAACGCACACCCAAAAAAGCCTATAAAAAGTACCGGGGCATTTCATGGGGCCCCCTACTGATTGGGCCCTCGGCAATGCCCGAGTGCTCGAATGGTCAGTCCACCCCTGGGTGGAACTATCAATTATCTGCCTGTCCTCCATTCATAGATCTTGTTTCTTTCATAGAAGCTGTAGTAGAGCTTCTATGAATGGTGGAGCTGGGCGAACTGTAAGTTATGTTCCTTGTGCTGATTTTTCTGTTTGTAATTTTGGCTGAACTTAGGCTTTAAGGGTTCATGCACATGTCTGCAGTGGGGCCGTACAGTGTGCAGAGACTGTGTAATGAAAATCCTGGGACCCACTGTCGCTCTGTATTAGCTATCCATTGAGATGCATTAGAAGAGGTGGCTGTATGTACTAGTGCACTGGGGGTTGCATACAATTCAGATAGTGTGTGTTTGAAGCATATGTCAGTATGCATGAAGGTGCTTTATGCAACCCTTGGCACCCTAGTGCATACTGTTGCCTCTTCTAAAGCATCTCAATGAGAGGCTGTACAGCAGCAGGAATGTCATTAGGCAGGCTCTTCATGCTGTACAGCCCCTGTATGGCTGTGTGCATGAAGTCTAAGACCTCCTCTGACTGCATGTTATATTTTGGGTGGTGGGCAGTAAAACTTTGACACAACCATCTATTTTCACTGGCCCTTGCCACCCATGTAAGCGTGGCCTTTTATTCCAAGAAATGTTTTAAAATAATAATAATAATAAAAATATTACTAAATCTCTAATTACATGTGTAAATTCACAAATACAAGCCTTTATAGACCTTCTTAGTAGTCCAATCTTTGTCAACCTTCTCCTTTATGACATAAAGAAAGACAAACCTTCTTATTGATCCTGAAATTGCGAATTTTCTGTACAAACACAGATGCAAATCTATGATATATATACAGTCATGGCCGAAATTGTTGGCACCCTTGATATTTCTCCAGGAAATCATGTATTTCTCACGAAACGTATTGCATTAACACATGTTTTGCTATACACATGTTTATTCCCTTTGTGTGTATTGGGACAAAACAAAAAAAGGGAGGAAAGAAAGCAAATTCGACATAATGTCACACAAACCTCCAAAAATGGGCTGGACAAAAGTATTGGCACCCTTTCACAACTGCGGATAAATAAGAATGTTACAAGCATGTGATGCTCCTGTAAACTCACCTGGGGCAAGTAACAGGTGTGGGCAATATAGAAATCACACCTGAAAGCAGATAAAAAGGAGAGACGTTCACTTAACCTTTGCATTGTGTGTCTGTCTGTGCCACACTAAGCATGGACAACAGAAAGAGGAGACGAGAACTGTCTGAGGACCTGAGAACCAAAATTGTGGCAAAATATCAACAATCTCAAGGTTACAAGTCCATCTCCAGAGAACTAGATTTGCCTTTGTCCACAGTGCGCAACATTATCAAGAAGTTTGCAACCCATGGCACTGTAGCTAATCTCCCTGGTCGTGGACGGATGAGGAAAATTGATGAAAGATTGCAACGCAGAATAGTCCGGATGGTGGATAAGCAGCCCCAAACATGTTCCAAAGACATTCAAGCTGTCCTGCAGGCTCAGGGAGCATCAGTGTCAGCGCGAACTATCCGTCGACATTTAAATGAAATGAAACGCTATGGCAGGAGACCCAGGAGGACCCCACTGCTGACACAGAGACATAAAAAAGCAAGACTACAGTTTGCCAAAATGTACTTGAGTAAGCCAAAAGCCTTCTGGGAAAACGTCTTGTGGACAGATGAGACCAAGATAGAGCTTTTCGGTAAAGCACATCATTCTACTGTTTACCGAAAACGGAATGAGGCCTACAAAGAACAAAACACAGTACCTACGGTAAAATATGGTGGAGGTTCAATGATGTTTTGGGGTTGTTTTGCTGCCTCTGGCACTGGGTGCCTTGACTGTGTGCAAGGCATCATGAAATCTGAGGATTACCAAAGGATTTTGGGTCGCACTGTAGGGCCCAGTGTCAGAAAGCTGGGTTTGCGTCCAAGATCCTGGGTCTTCCAGCAGGACAATGACCCCAAACATACGTCAAAAAGCACTCAGAAATGGATGGCAAAGAAGCGCTGGAGAGTTCTGAAGTGGCCAGCAATGAGCCCAGATCTAAATCCCATTGAACACCTGTGGAGAGATCTTAAAATTGCTGTTGGGAAAAGGTGTCCTTCCAATAAGAGAGACCTGGAGCTGTTTGCAAAGGAAGAGTGGTCCAAAATTCCGGGTGAGAGGTGTCAGAAGCTTATTGATGGTTATAGGAAGCGACTGATTTCAGTTATGTTTTCCAAAGGGTGTGCAACCAAATATTAAGTTAAGGGTGCCAATACTTTTGTCCAGCCCATTTTTTGGGGTTTTGTGTGACATTATGTCATATTTGCTTTTCTGCCTCTGTTTTATATTTGTTCCAATACATACAAAGGGAATAAACATGTGTATAGCAAAACATGTGTTAATGCAATACCTTTTTTGTGTGAAATACTTGATTTTCAGGAAAAATATCAAGGGTGCCAACAATTTCGGCCATGACTGTATATATATATATATATATATATATATATATATATATATATATATAAAACTGTATGCACTATATATATATATATATATATATACACACACACACATTTACCACACATACTTCTTTCACTCTTATTGAGAAAATCCACAAAAAAAGAATTACTTTATTGCTGAATGTGATAAGCATCATGTAAAAATAAATATATGTTGAATGTAATTTGGATTTCGCACAATTCATCTGCTATTCATTCTTTGTTCTCTAGATAGATTAAAATTTATAGGCTGAATTACTGTACAGTTTATATAGGTTTCTATTGTTGATGTCAATTATGAAATGATGTGACAGAGGGTTTTGTTGTGTAAATTAAATCCTGAATTTCAGTCAGTCGGAAGTTTCTCTTCATTGAATACGATTTATTTTATAGATGCCAAAGAAAATTGCACAAAAAAAGAAAGTAAGATTGGTAAGTTTTTTCTTCTTTTTATGAAATAACTAAAAAGGAATAGAATTACTCTAAAGCGGTTGTGAAGTCGTAATTTTTTTTCTTAAAATAAAAAAACATTTTTACCTGCTCAATTTGCAATGGAATCATACAGAATGGCCCTGAACAGGGGCGGACTGACCATTTGGAAACAACTTGGGCACTGCCCAAGGGCCCGGGGTCAGTAGGGGGCCCCATGAGATGCCCCTGGTACCTTTTTCATAGGCTTTTTTGAGTTTGGGCAAGGATACAGGGGCCCCATGATCCCCTATTGCCCAGGGGCCCCATGAGTTTTCAGTCCGCCCCTGACCCTGAACCTCCTTTTCTGGTGTCCACTGTTGGCATTACTGGCTCCTCCGCTTCTGTGTCTGCCACCACAGTAAGCTGTGCACTATGGGGGCAGATGTGTGGGCTCGCTCCCGAGCTGGGCTGTGTGTGTCTATAGACACACATAGCATGGCTCTGCCCTGTCTCACCACTCTCTGCTCACAGGATTTGTTTGACAGCTGCAGGAGCCAATGGCTTCCAGTGCTGCCTCTCTGTCCTATGAATGCAGGAAGAGAAGAGGAGAGATTCACTACAGGTTGGCACAGCACTGGATCGAGTGAGGATGCAGGTAAGTATTTAGGGAGGTGAAGGGGTGATACTGCTACTGGGACATTTTTTACCTTAATGCAGGGAATGCATTCAAGTGTTACTAAACCCACAACAATAAAATGAGTCTGTATATGCAGTAAAGCATGCTTGTTATACTCACTGTGGAACCTATGGGGTTAATCCTCCAAATTGTGTAAAAAGGATGCTTGATCCCGGCTTTTCTAATCCTCCCCTTATTCCAGTGTCTCCTAAATATCTCCTGATTGAACAGCGGCGGGGGGTGTTAAGCTGCACATGCTCAGTTTGGTGTGTAATGCTAGAGATTTTTTTTATCTTGGGATCAGCACAGGGCCAATCAGCACTGTCCAGACAGAGGTCAGGGGTTTTGCATCCTCCTACCAAAAAATTAAGACTCTTCCTACAAGCTTTAACCAGTGCTCTACTGGACACTGATAGAAGTCACAAGACTGCTCCAACTGCTGATGAGAAAAGGTGTTTAGCAGTTTATATTTACTAAAATAATTGCATTTCCATGTCCTATGATGTACTGTGGGAGACCACATAGAGTGAATGCAGGGTCCTGGGTTTAGTAACACTTTAAGGTAAAAAAATGTCTTGGCTTTTAAATTTCAGGTACATGGCTAAATATGCAGATGAAATATGTACATATTAGGATGCTCTATTACCTGCCACAGGATTATATTTGTGTTCATCTAGTTCTGAGGCTTACACACAGCGCTGCCATGCAGGACAGCTCTGTTTGGTAGGGTAGAAGACATGACTTTGCTGCATTTAAATAACATCTATAGGTCTATATTCTCCACTAGCCTGTAAATGGACAGTGAAAAGAGAAGCAGCACACAGATAATCTCACTTATTTGTCACTCTGCTTTCTCCTTCTATCAGCATGTTCCATTTTAGCACATAAGCATTGCAGCAAAGCTTACTGGCTCCTTGTGCTGCTTCTACCTCTTCCAGTCTGAGGACTGCATGTTTGAGTTTTTGGTACGTGGGTGCACTAGGGCCCTGGTTGCCATTGTGCTACATGCTGGGGTCCAGTGCACTCCTTTGCCTTTAAGAGGGGTGGCTCCCTCAGGTCCACCTGCCCTTGATCTATCCATTAAATGCATGTGCCTCTACTATGGGGACTCATAAATTTTAGAGTTAGGACCACAGATGATCAGGGTGCCGTGTCGTGGCTCTGTGGCTTACGTATGTATTTGCAAATGTGTGCTAACTAAACCCCTGTTATAAACGCATACTGTTAGACAGGTTAATTCG